AGGTTTAGGGTTCAACATGTGTCGCGAATCTATTGTATTGATAAATTCAGACGTGTTTAAGAATTTACTCATATAGTAAATTCAAAGGTGGAGCTCAGGCTGAAAATTTGGCGTGAGAAATACTAAAAGCCCTAATCTCTAAATACACTGATCCTTTTCATATTAGCATATATGCAGTTCCAACACTGCATGCAGGCAGATGAGGTCATTTTTCTGCTATTGTGTGCTCGATTGTGAGTCGTTGATTTATATACTGACTTACACGGCTCGGGCCTGGCCCACGTTATGTAAATGCATTGCATGCAAATATACTAAATCTTTTTCAAATTACAGAAAATGAGATGCATTTATCAGTGAACATCGAACATCTTACTCGGCGAAGCTATTTCTACTTGAAATCAAGTAAACCAACGCAAAAGTCAACACATAGATACCTCGTTTAATTTGGATTTTTAACTAACCTACTCAGGGGCGCCGGAGCCACGGGGGCACCTAACAGTGCGGGGGCAGTGCGGGGGCAACCGGTTGCCCCTTTTTTGACAAAATAGCATTAGCGATTTAGTGGCATTAACTAATAAGTTATTATTGACTGGTCGTCATATATATAAGTATATATTATGACCACGTTCATTTTATGGTTCATTTACGCATTACGCATTACGCAGGCTAGCGTCTTATCATCTCCATGGAACAGTCAGTGTTTGGACGGGCATAATCCATATAATCCTTCTAATTGGACGGATGTAAGCCTTCTAGATTTTTGTAGTTTCTTGACACACCTAAAATGGAGAGTTTGAAGTTTGATTTTCTGGGAACGGCAAATGGTAGGTTCAAACATTCTTCGCAAAATGTTCGTTAAATGTTTTCGTTTCATATTTTCTTTCTTGTGTCGAAAGGATAGTCATGCATTACAGTTTTCAAACAGCAAGTCCATTTACTCTTGATTGCCTGATACCGTAAAATCTTTCTTTGCCTGGCGTTTGCCGTTAATTTGCCGTATAAACGCGAATCTTATAAACTCTAATAAGAAGTACTGAACCGTGATATAGTTATAGTTGACTCGTTTTTTCGTTGGGACAAACATTAGCATACGCAAGCCAAGGAGCAAGGATTACAGATTGTAGTTTTCGATTTCTTTACTGAGTTCAGTGTTACAAGTCACTTTATTAATTGTTCCTTTATTTTATTATATGTCGATTTATAGTTTACTCTACATTGTTGTGCGAGTATATTTTCATGCATGAACCGCTGTTTTTGCGTTAGCTTGCTATCGTAGGCAATATTCTGCGCTGTTTCTTTTTCGTCTTGCCCAATGTTCGTGACCTACATCTGACCACTTAGCGCAAAAAAGGAAGACCTTACCAACGATGAACTTTTCGATAGCCTTGCGGCCCTTGCTGCTATAGCAGACGTAATCGACATATAGAGGAGCTAAAGAACGAGTTGTACAAGATTATTTCGTGTCCATATCAAGCTCTACAATTAGGAGGCAACATAAACAGTTCCCCTAAAGAAAATCACTAAGGTTTCCACTATCATGTGATGCCTTGAATGAGTAACAAAGTTCAAAAGAAACCCTTCTAGAAACCAACAAGTTATTGTGCCTTTACTATAGTTTATACCACTAGGATCAGCAACCGCAGAGAGATCGAGGATTCTGCGTTAAACGACGGATCAAATCGTGGTTACGCTCAACGATGCTTGTATACCACCAAGTCCAAGGTTGCTGATACCATCAAACTTGCCACCATGGACGATGTTTGTACCACCAAGGTTGCCAGATCGAGATTTTGTCCGAGTTAATAAAAAGCGGCGAAAGTACTTTGGACAGTTCAGTGTTTGGTAGATTCAACCTCGGATTCCGGCTTTACTGGTATTAAACAACAGATAATATTACATAATTACAACATGCCGAATAGTATATGAATTTGATATTGTTAATACACGAACTGGACGTCTTAGGTTGTTACTGAATCTACTCAATTTATTCATAATCCATAAAAAACTGATCTAGTGTACTATATACTGTATAGAAGTATTTGGCTGCAAACTGTCAGCCTTCATCAGCTACCAAAATATTCCACCAATATAGCTGAACTTTTCACTCTTGGCTTGCCAGGTTAATTGGAGAATATGATGTTGACATTGAGAATTATCCAATTTTGTCATGCTAATAGTAATAATAAACATTAAGTAGTCATGCGATATTGCTCGTACAAATAGGATTAATAGTGATATTGGCGGCTCGTCCAATTTTGGCAAAATGCCCAAACATCACTCGTACTATTAATCCCTAATTGTACTCGCCATCGCATGATTACCTATACTAGCTAATTGTTTTTCTTTGCATTTGTAGAAACAAAGCAGCCCTTTCGATTTTGGACTGAAACCTTCAAAGAATGAACGACAATAATTTAACAAGCACTCTGACTTGTGCCGCTTGACTGTATACTACGTTTGTTGGATTCGGCCTGGAATGGAGCGGCCGACTTCAACCCATGTAAACTGTCATAATTGTTGTCTACTTGACAATCATGCAAATATCCAGAGTCGCCATTCAAATGTAAATTTATCTCGAAATATTTGACATACATATTTGGATAAATCAAGTCCAACATTTATCAGTTCAACCTCGCTTAGAGGATTGGAGTTGGGACCCTTGTCGAGAGATCTAGAGTCAAGAAGCTTTTATCGAGGTTTGTTAAGTTAATCATGTATTTTTTTCTCACCTGCTTGAATTAATCAGTATGAGGTCGTTCTATTATCATGTTATGTATTCTATATATTATAGAGTGTAGAAGGGTTTTGTAGATGGAAATTTCGAGTGTCATTTTCATATGCTTATTGGACCTAACCAGAAGCATTTTGGGGAAAATGCAAAGGAGGCGCTCTTGCAAGAATCGAACTTGCGGCCCTGCGATCCCAGTACATGCAGCGCTTTAACCAGCTGAGCTACTGAGGCCCTATATAATTAGTTATATATCGAATGTAGCTGTGGATGGCCACAAAACTGCATGATATTTTCGTATATTCTATTTAGCCCGTTTTTGTGCAGAATGAAGCGATTTGTCTACAAAAAAACGCAAGAAATGAATTTATTCACAAGATCTGGTCCGAAACTTAACACAAAATATCAAGCAAATATATCTTGAGTAGACTATTCACCTTTTGACTAAAATTTAGATCTCAACAAGTCTAGACAAAAACTTCATCACAACTTGAATGAGCATCACAAAATTAGTAATATTCCTAGTAATTTATAACCTTGCGAAGTTTCCAATTTTCAGTCATATTGTTGCGCGCGGGAAATACATACTGTATACTTCCTTCGGAAAAAGTATGTATTTCCCGCGCGTAACACAATATGACTGAAAATTGCAAACTTCGCAAGGCTATATTATCCGCATTTTACAACATTTCGCAACGAAACTTTGGAATATTACTAATTTTGTGATGCTCTTTCAAGCTGTGATAAAATTTTTGTCTAGACTTGTTGAGATCGTTGAAAGGCAAAACACGAATTTTATCGAAAATTGAAGTTTTGTTTATTTTTAAAGCTCTTTTCAGTGAGACAAACTAAATTTAACATTCTTCTTCAAGATCGGAAAGTGTTAACATTCTTTTGTGAAAGTTTGGTGAAAAATTAATATATTTCTGACAGTGTTAAAAGGTCTTGGAGATTCAATACACCTACATGTATAAAGTAAATAGTGCTGCAACACACTCATTTGGTGTACAGTAAATTTCACGATTGATCGCACTAACACAAAAATGGTGTAACATTTACTCTAAATCAGTATCTACGGAGCTGCTATTATTTATACACCACTTTCGTGTTGTAACAACACCCAGAAATTTAGCATTATGGAGGTGTTACAAACGTGTAACTTTATTGTGCTTAATTAGTTTACATTTACGCCTTTTGTAGAAACATTCCTTGCAAAAATGTCAAAAACCTATACACTTGGACGCTGGGTTACCGCCGACCTGAAAACTATCAGCAAATATGTGAAAGGAATGCGTATAGCTCGCGAAGTTACCCATCCTTCACTGTTAGCCTTGCAGGATCTGATTGAAACCGATCCAGAGGTAAACATGCTCTTCACGACCATGTTTACTCAAGAATTTGACCCACCTCAAGAGAATCCAATCTCAGACTACATGGATATGCTGAAGAAGATGCAGACCATCATTACCAGCGCTCCCGAGTACGGTAGTACGCTTGGTAGTGCACCCCTCAATCATATCCTGATATATGTGATGGCAACACCTTCAGGAACCATGGCTTTTATCAACGATAAAGTCAACAAATGCTTCAGAAATATTCTCAACAGCTGGGCGCAGCTTCTGAATAGTCCAGATTCACGAGAGGTCTTGAACAAGCAGGTAAATGAAACAGGACAGCATAATTATAAGCGATGCCAGAACTGGGCCGTTAGATTCAATACAAGAAGTTGACATGCATGCCAAAATAGCCTATGCCGATGAATGTACTGTAACATTTTCTTGAATTATTTTTTGTCATCTTACAATGTTATACATTGGTAGATATTGCTTTGCAGGAATGTTTTATAATTTGGTGAAAAGAGATTTCAGCCATCTTTAAGTGCGATTAATGTTGAATCTTTAAGTGCGAATTATGTCGATTAATACTAGTCTTTAATAGGTAACATTTCAATCATCTTAGGAGGAAATGTATTGTCAGTATCTTTATGGTAAATAAATTTCAATTTTGATTAAATGTTTCATATCATATCACAAGGTGAGTTGTGCCGGAGGTTTTAAAGCCGGAGGTTTTGACAATGTTAACGAGGATGCATTTGTTATGTTAAAAATATATTACATTATTTCTTTTAAAATTATCCAAATATTACAATATTACCATTTTAATAGTTATAGAAGAGCGAGTAAAAATGCCACAATGCCTCTGTTCGATCATTATCCAAGTTTAGTATAATTACAAAGGTGATTATCGAAAATTGTGGCCGCTGATTGGTCAAGCGACCTCGGATTATTACGCGATAATCACCTAAGCGGTTTTTTCAAAATGGCGGCGAGTGGTTTCGTCGAAGTGATAGATGAAGAAATAAATTAAATTTTAAAGAAAATACTGTACCTAAAAGCACGAAAGAAGTGCCAAAATTTGGCTTAAAAGTATTTCGAGATGGGAAACTACGAGATGGGGAAACTACTTCGCATAAAACACCGTTTTATTTAAGTTGCCGTACAATAGTTTAGACATTTGTTTACGTTTGTAAAAAAAGTATTTTCTGCAACAGATTTGTTTCAACGACAGTTAGAATTCACAAATGAGTTTGAAGACATCAATATTGACGGAATAAACAAATGTTTATCGAAATTCTACGTTTGTATAAGAAAAAGTGATGGAAATTACTACAAAAAAGCATTCTTGATGGCGATATGAGCGGCCCTGGATATAGAAAGCTAAAGTCACCGCCGTACGAAAAAAGATTGAGATGTGTTATATTGTTTCTTTTCAAATAATCATCTTTGTACTTATACTAAAACAATTATTCGCCTCAGGCTCGGTGAATATCGCTGAATAGAAACCTCGACTTCGTCTCGGTTTTTATTCAGCGATATTCACCTCGCCTTCGGCGAATAATTGTTAATTATAGTCCAGCGCATCGGTCAGAAATATCATTTAATTTGTGAAGAGAGCACAAACTTTGACACACTGATTATAGTATGATTAGCACTCATGTCCCATGGTTGGGACAGAACAGCATTTTTATAAATTTTCTTATAAATTTCCACATTCAAAAAAGTGTTCTTTTACTACACATCACCTGCATCATTAGGAATATCACAAAGAACTACAATATATGAGTGAGTAATGCAATTTTGCCAACCAATTTGGGCTATTAACTAGAAGGAAAATGCTATACAAAAATACCTTTGTAAATACTAGTTACTTCTGTGTTCTGCAAGCCTACCGACTTTCACAACTATCTACTATTTTCCTCTTCCCACCCCAGCCACACTAAAAGGTCTATTTCCTTCTCACAATTCCTTCGCCTTCGTCGCATTTGCAGTGAAGACAAGGACTCTCAAATTAAAAGTCTGGAAATGAGACATGTTTTTGTCCAACGTGGCTATCCAACCTCTCAATAGCTATTAGGCACTGCCTTTTCGAAGGCCTCCCAAATTCCATGAGCTCAAACCCTCACAGACCCTGTGTCCAATTAATATCACAGGTACCAACACAATCCCCCCTAGTATTATAACTTATCATCCTTTCAATTTCAAAGTTAGAGATGTCATGAGAAAGAATTTCCATATTTTGAAACACGACCCCGAAACATCTCCCATTTTCTCCGATAACCCCTTACGCTTGTATTCTAAAAGCTCACTCACACTCAAAGAGTGGAGATATAATATATATATATATATATATATATATATATATATATATATATATATATATATATATATATATATATAGGTTAAGTTTTTGGTTTACGAAACACAAACAGTGCTCAATACCATATAGATAGAGCGTAATATAGTTTTTCGTTTTACCTCAAAATACCACAACAGTCTGTTTCACCACCTGATGATTCCTATATGGATGAAACAGACTGTTGTGGTTTTTTGAGGTAAAACGAAAAACTATATTAGAACAGTTATTTGGCTTTTCAATGATACTCTTTTTAAATCGTAACGATGAGAAATGGCCACATACTCGTCAAATAAAAATTGCGTGTCGAAATCATATTCTTCCACCGTTGGGAATTGCATCGCACACGAAACAAACAATTCCCAAGAGGGAATTAAAATTGAATGTTAAATTATCTAAAATAAGCTCAACTCGTCAATCTTCGTCTTAGTGAGACAACAACTCAATACGAATTTGGTACGAAATCAGTTCAATTAACCCCTGAACAGAGAACATTCGCTCTTTCTTCCTATGTAAAAGTCGAACTGTTTAGCTACGTTTATGATGCACAACAGCCTGTTGAACTTCCGTAGCGTTTTTTTAGACACCTTGTACAAATAATGAATGTTTATGAGTACAATAGTAAGAATATTTTCATCAGGTGAAAGATGGAATGTTCCATTCAACGCGACTACAGTCGAGTTGAATGGAACATTCCATCTTTCACCGAATGAAAATATTTTTACCATTGCACGAATAAACATTCATTTTTTATTTTATTTAGGCCTAATACCAAAATAGACTAATAGATTCGTATGAGAAGCATTTTGACGGATGCGATTTATCGAAAACACAAAGAGGGCAAAGGAATAAAACGTATAGTACAATTGCACTAGCAAAGAGTGCAATAGAATTACGTATTCCATTGCACTCTTGGAAAATGGAATTTTCTATTAAATATCACGTGACCATAAACAGCCAATTAAACGGTCAGAATTCAATAAGGTATAATATAATATAGACATAAAATCCGTATTACTTAATCAATGCTGTGTACATAGTTTTTTGTGATCTTTCTAACAAAACAGGTAATATCTAGCAAAACTGAACTTGAAATTTCAACTTTTCAAACAATTTAATAGGAATTTATTAGGCAATTTAGAAAAAAAAAGTTTTTTCACAACCATCTGAGATGCCTAATTCTTTTTGTCGCATGAAATCATAACTGTGCCAAATTTAGTGTTTTCATCGTAGAATGCACGATTTTACCAAAAACTAATGTGATCAGGGACGTCGCGAAGCCATCAACATTGGGGGGG